CTCTCTCTCTCTCTCTCTCTCTCTCTCTCTCTCTCTCTCTCTCCCCCTCTCTCTCAGACGCGCACACTCACACACGCGTCCGGCGCCGCGAGCCCCGCACAAAACTTAACTTCAACAAGGGTAATGAGGGGAATCATTAATTCTCTCGTTTTCTGCTTCCGTCGAATTTAATTATAACGAGTCGCGTCAACAAGTGAAGTGAATCACATAATGCCCCGGGCCACCACCGCGCGCCGCACTCAAAGCAAAGCGGAGCAGAGCGGCCACCATATCAACAAGCGCCGCCCAGCCACAGCCGGAGGAAAAATTGAGCATTTACCAGAATGGGGACAGAAAAAGACGACTGGACCGGGTGGAGCGCTAGGTTTCCGACGCCTCTTTACTTTATTTTGAAATTTCTTGTTATTTGTGACAGTGTTGGTGGTCTGGCCGATGAATGAATGGAATGAATGAACGCCATGACTATCTCGCCCTCCCGATACTTTATCAGTTCACTTTGTAGTCCTGTGATAAGCGGGTGCGGCCGGGCCCCCGCCGCGCCACGCCACCAGCACGAGGGGAGGCGGAGGGCCCCCGCGGCCGGGGCCGCGTCACCCGGCCGACCCGCGCGGGGCCTCGGAGGAGGGGGCAAAGGGGCCTCGTAATCGTGTCCTGTGGAACCATGAAAATGCGACAGCCACCGCGTCCCCGACGATATTTTCACGCGTCGTGCGTGCGCCGCACGGGGCAGGTGCGTGGACACGGGCAAACGCAGCTGCCCCTCGACGATTAGGTGCAAGTTGGGCCTCCTCTCTAACGCCCCTGCTGCGCGGCCCGGCGCTGGAGAGCGGGTAGGGGACGAGACGGAGGGCGCAGGACAGTAGAGCGGGCGGCGGGGAGGATTCGAACGCGCGCGGCGCAGCCAACCTCTCGCCACAACAAAACGAAAAACGAAACGGCCACATCACCATTCCGAGAAACCAATTCACTTTTGTTATTGTTATTGGCCTGCGCGCGCCTCGCCGGGGAGGAGGAGGGCGCGTCCGAATCGACCGCCCGGAGCCTCCGGAGCCTCAGGGCAGGGCCGCCAAGCAGGGCTCCGGGGCACCCTATGCGGACGCGGCCGCACCGGGCGGCCAGCAAGCGGCCCAGGACCCATCGGCCAAGTGGCTCAGGTGTACGGTGGCGCGGCGGGGCCGAGCGGAGCGCCCGGACAGCTGCCCACGCACCGCCCAGGCTACCGTGCGACAAAAGCAGGGCGAGCAGCACACTCGTCAGGAGTACGCCAAGCGACCCGATGTGCACCCTCGCACTACCACCCGCACCGGCGGCGGCGGACGGGGGTGCTCCGCTTCGGTGCCTCGTCAAACCAAACCGACCAAACCGCAAACGATACGATTCGCTAATGGATCGTGTTTACATTCGAGTGCCGTGCTCAAGGGGCCGGGCGGCGCTGCAACACATTCGCCAAACCACTTTTTCCTCCTCTGCTCCTTTACTACCTCGTGCCTCGTGAGCGGCGCACGACAAAGTGAAGCGGAGGGCCGGGGGCGGGGAGTGGAGGGGCGCTGCTGCTCGGTGTTGCGCGGTGGGCGGCGGTAGGTGTGTTCTCAGAATTTCACTTTTTTGTGCAGCCGGGTGTGTTCGGAAAACATGTATCTCGCCCCCCACTCCCACAGGTCCTCCCCCCCCCCCCACTTCTTGGGCTCGCACGCTGCTGCACGATGAGCGCACGCACTCACGACATGCGAATCTCTCATATTAGTCGGGTGGGTACACGACGGTGCGTGACGCTCGGGGATTTGCTTCGTGAGCGGCCTGAGGCCGCCGGCGGCTTGCGAGGCGGCCTGCAGCGGGCCCGGGCAGACAGCCCGTGTTCTTCTCCCTCAGGGTGCTGGTGCACTCACCGAGCCACGCCACCGCCGTCACTGTGGTCGTTTTCGTTTTAGACAGTCCCCCGAGGCTGTCTCTACACCCGAAAGAAAAGATCCCGGTTTAGATCCAAGCAGTTTCCGGTACCGGTCGTCTGAAAACCTTACATCCGCTGCGGGATATGCCTAAAGACCAGGCGGGTCTCCGGTTTATACCGCTTCCGTCAACGAGAACGGGCAAAACCACACACGCACGTCTACCTGCAGCCCAGTTCA